TTTCGGTATTTCGGTAGCGACCGATCTCGGGTACTCGGGCCGGGCAAAAGGGGGGGATAGCAAAGGGGGGGTTTGAGAATCAGCCCACGTGGCTGATTTTCCCGGCGCCTCCCGGCGCCGGGAGGCGCCCATGTATCGAGGAATGGGCCCGGCGGCGGGGCCGAAACCAGCTGCATGCGGCAGATTTCGTACCCCCCCCTTTCCCAAACCCCCCCTTTCGCCCGACCCGAGGCACGGGGGACTCGGGGTGGCCTGACGGGGCCATCATGAAAACGACGAGGCCCAGTCTGAAACTCGACGCGAGCTCCCGCTGCAAACGTCCTGCGCGGACTGGGCCGTCAAAACCCAGGACGCGCTCGTCAAGGAACGACGGCAGACCCGAGCTCCGGCTTACTCGGGTCTTACGCTTCTCCGAGTGTAAGTAGAGGGGAACTGGAACACACAAATAAATACACACAAATAAAAATATCCCCCATATTTTCCAATATTTTCTGGGTTTTTGTCTTCCCCACCACTTCCCATATTTTTGCATATTTTCCTGGGAGTCGACGATTAATTGTGTCGGTGTGTTTCTTTCCCTCCTGAGTAAGTCGGGCCTCCACGCCATCAAGGATCCGACGGCGGCCCCCGAGGCCCCCGCAGAGGGCCCCGCCCCGAGGGGACCCCCATGGCAGCGCCGACCTCCAAGACGCCCCGAAACGCCTAAACTGAAGGGGAACTGGGACACACAAATAAATACACACAAATAAAAAGATCCCCCATAGTTTCCCATATGTTCTGGGTTTCTGTCTTCCCCCCCACTTCCCATATTTTCCCATATTTTCTGGGGAATCGACGATTAATTGTGTCTGTGTGTTTTTTCCCCTCCTGATAAACAAGGCACCGCGACGGACCAGAGGGGACCCCCCAAGCCGGCCTCCGAAGGACAAGGAGCCGATTACAAGCGCCAGATGGCCTTGAAAAGGCTCCAAGAAAGCCCAAGAGGCCCTCAGAAGCACCCAAGCCGGCCTCCAGGAGGCCTTCTGCTCCTCCTCCTTCTCCTCCTTTCTGCCTCATTCCTCTTCCTCCCGCACGTGTCCCTCCCATGGGGTTCCACAAGGGCCGGTGGAGCGCGTTGCCCAGTGGCTTGTCAAGACTTCGGCACAACGTTTGGCCACCTGGGCGTTTCCGAACGGCAGCTAGGTGGTGGTGGTTCGCCGAAGGCGTCTTCGACAGACATATGACATGTGTTAGGACAACACGGCGTTACGCAGGCCGCCCCGCCCGAGACGACACAAAGAACGAACGACGCCATGGCTCCACGCTGGCCCAACTAGGCAACACGAAAACTGGTAACTGTACTAATATGGTGGCGGTACACGGCCAGCACAACCATACAGGCAGAAGAGGGGCAGACCCAACAAGAGGAACATGATAAGATAACAACGCACAGGCACCGACCAAGTGGGCATAAGAGGCGCCACGCCATTACAGCACCAGGACGGCCCAGCCCGATCATCTAACAAGCGAGCGAAGCCACGGCGTCGCGGCGCAAGCCCAGGACAACAGATAGGAAGCAGGCCCACGAAAGCGGGAGGCATGTGTGAGCGACACGATGAGGCATGCCAGCAAAGGCAGGCCTCGCATGACACGCAAGGTGGTAGAAACTGGATATTGGACACGTGGGTGTGAAACAACTTTGAGTTACTGAAACCGCGCAGGTAATACGTGTGCCAAAACAAGGGCGATACGCAAAAGAAATCAGCAGCATTTGCACACACCAATATCGCACACACATAGAAGACCATACAAACTTGCCTTCAAGAAGGCACACATGTATCAATTACACGAAAGTATAAATTACGAGCCTCATTCATATGAAAAATGCACAATTCCACCAGCCCTTTGGGCGTTGGAGCCCCTCTCCCGAAGGCCCTCCCTGCCCTCCGCCCCCCCTCCGCCCGTCCCTGCAGCCCCCCCTCCATCCAACCACTGATGCATTTTGTTTTGCTGCACCCGCGGCTGCTACTCGTCCTCCAACTCCCTCTCCTCCTGCGCCCCCTCCGCAAGGGCCCTGGGCGTGCTAAAACTGAAGGGGCTACCGGTGTGATCTCCGAGCCTCGCCATCGCTCGGACGTCCATTCCGTGTGCTTTTTTCGGTTTCGTGCGTGGCTTTTCGCCAAATGATCAATCAAGGATGCTCCTCGATGGTCCTCGCCGATGGAAAAATGCACACGTCCGAGCGATGCCGAGGAACCCCTCTGCGCATGCATCGGCACTCGCTGGGCCCCCAGGGGGCCGACACGAGCACCTGCTTCCTTCCCTGGCAAATCCCGAAGGAGCCCAGCGGCAAGGTGAGGAGCCCAGCGGCAAGGCGAGGGGCCGCTGCGAACACACACCACTGGCAGCGCAAACTCCGCACGGGAAGCCCGAAGGGGCCCAGGGACACACAAACAAGCACACACACACACAAATGGCAGGATCCCCCACACGCCCCCACATCTGCTGGGTCTTCGTCTTCCCTCCCAGCTCCCCTCTTTTCCCATATGCTCCTGGGGATCGCCGATTCACTGTGTCTCTGTGTGTGTGTGTGTGTGTGTCTGTGTGTGTGTGTGTGTCTGTGTGTGTGTGTGTGTGTGTGTGTGTTTGCCTCCCGCACAGCTGGCAGCGCAAAGCGCCGCACGGGAGGCCACGCCTCGGGCCCCGCCGGGGTCCCTGCCCGTGCCGCAGGCTGCCGGCTGCACCCCCGGGGACCCTCTCCCGGCCCCTGGGCCGCGCAAAATTCTATCCCACGACGCAGCGGCGTGGGCAAACACGGAGCCACGGAGGACATGAGCAGAGGGGCCCCAGGACACACACAGAAATCAATAGACACTGCTGGCAGGATCCCCCATCTGTCCCCACATGTTCTGGGTGTTTGTCTCCCCCCCCCCCGCTTCCCATACAATCCCACATCTTCGAGGGAATCGACGATTCATCGTGTCCGTGTGTTTTTTTCCCTCATGGCAATTGTCTCACGACACAGCGGCGTGGGCAAACATGGAGCCACGGAAGACATAAGCAGAGGGGCCCCAGGACACACACGGATCAATAGACACTACTGGCAGGATCCCCCATCTGTCCCCACATGTTCTGGGTGTTTGTCTCCCCCCCCGCTTCCCATACTTTCCCATATGTTCGAGGGAATCGACGATTCATTGTGTCCGTGTGTTTTCTTCCCTCATGACAATTGTCTCACGACATAGCGGCGTGGGCAAACATGGAGCCACGGAAGACATAAGCAGAGGGGCCCCAGGACACACACAGATCAATAGACACTACTGGCAGGATCCCCCATCTGTCCCCACATGTTCTGGGCGTTTGTCTCCCCCCCCCCCGCTTCCCATACAATCCCACATCTTCGAGGGAATCGAGAGATTCATCGTGTCCGTGTGTGTGTGTTTTCCCTCATGACAATCATCTCACGACACAGCGGCGTGGGCAAACATGGAGCCACGGAAGACGTGAGGGGTGGCAGTTTCGTGAACACCTCGCGCCGTCGTGTCCGAAAGAGGCGGGCGGGGGGGGGAGGCAGCAGGTGGGGCACAGGGGAGGCGACACCGACGCCGCCAGGGAGGGGCGCCCTTCCAGCGAGGAGGTCCACGATGCCCTTCCGAGCTGGGGCTGGGCGTTGGGGGGATGTCTCGAGCGAGAGGGGGGACCACACCACCACGGGGACCCCTCCCTGGCTCCTCCCGCTGGTGGTCCCTGGTGGTGTCGGTGTCGGTGTTCCGTGTTCCTAGCATGAGCAGGTGAGGGGATGGGATGGGGGAGGAGACGGTGAGGGGGAAGGATGACACATTCAGTGCGGAAGACGCGGACGAGGACGAGGACGAGGACGGAAAGCCAGGGCGAAGGCGCGAATGAAGACGAGGATGGATAAGGGCCTCTGGTGATCTCTTGCCCCCTGTCGTGGCTCAGTGGACGGCAGACCGCGCTCCCACAGTGTGGCAAACCTTAAAACAAAAAATCGTGTAGCTACAGCCGGCTCCGACAGCGCATTCGCTGCTGAAGACATGGCAGATAGATACGATGGGCGGAAAGGCAATTCTGAAAGGAAGCCAGCACTGAGGGCGCAGACGAAGCCGTCAACTTCGTGCTCAGACCACCTTGCCGTAGAACACGCCCTTCAGCAAGATCGTCTTCGGCGCCTTGGCGCCCATGTCTGTGTCGGACGGCTGCTTGGAGACGAAGACGCCGCCAATCTCGCCAAGCTCCTGGTTCACCTTGTTCACCTCCATCTCGATGGCGCCCTTGCCAACGTCGAACACCTTGTTGGTCTCCTTGAACAGCTCCTCCTGGCCCTCCTTGCCGTCGGCCTGCAGCGCTGGCAGGGCCACGGCCTGGTCGTAGCCGAGGTACATGCCGCGGCCCTTGGGGTCCAGGAAGCCGCCCGTGCGGTAGGAAGGCACCATGAACTCACCGCCCCAGGTGTAGCCAGGCTTGAACGAGCTGCCCTCGCCCTTGGCGACCAGCGACTTGCAGGAGAACAGGAAGGGCACGTACTCGCCGTCCGGCAGCTTCACGGTCGTCGCCTGGAAGTCCATGCCGTCCTCCTCCTTGAAGGTGATGGGGTTGGGGCTCAGCGAGCCCTCGACGAACGCGATCGTGTACGTCTGCCTCGTCGTCAGCTTGGTGGTGACAAACTCCTTGCCCTTGTCCGTCTCGGCCTCGACGGCGAAGGACTTCGGCTCCAGGCAGAAGTTCTTCATCCTGCTGCCCTTCTCGACGCGGACCTCGGTGCCCACCTGGTCGACCGTGGGGCAGCGGTTCGCAAGTCCAGAGCCGCGGACCTGGGAGTAGGTGAGCTGGCTGAACTGCTCCGCGGTGATGGCCTTCGCCGGGGCGGCGGCGACCGACATCACGAGGCCGAGCGCCGCGCCGGCGCCCAGCAGCGGCGCGGCCCACGCCGCCCAAGAGGCCGTCTCGGCCTCGGCGCCCAGGGGCTCCAGCACGGCCTCGGCGGGCACGGCGGCGCGTGGCTGCGGCACGGGTGCGCGCGCCCCAGGGCCGTGCACGTACGCCGAGGCGTGGCCCACAAGCATCATCACGGCGACAGGGCGGGCCATGGTGGACTGCGGAGCTGGGAGGCTGGGGCACACCTCTGGACGGGTCTGCGCCGCCCAAGTCGCTCTTGAGCCGAAACGGCTGCGGGGCGAGCAGAGCTGGACGAGCAGCAGCAGCGGAGGAGGAGGAGGAGGAGGAGGCCGCCCTCCACAGCACACACTGTCGCATGCGCACCGCGCTCCCAACGGTGCCTGGGTGCCCCGACGCCTCCCGGCGGATCTCCACGGCGTCCAGGGCGGCCGACAAGAAACCATCGAGACCGCAGCGATGGACCGGCACTGCCCCAATAAGCACCCAGCAGGTTCCAAGCGGCTTCCAACACGCCTCAAGACACGCCCAAGAAGCTCTCCAGGAGACCATGTTCGTAATGTGTTCCCATGTGTTCGGTCAAACATCGGTCCACTTGGTGTTAGATGGCCCATGACGGCCCCAAGAGAGCCCCAAACTGGCCCAAGAGGGGCTCCGAAGGGACCTATGACTGTCTAACTGAGCCCCGAGACGGCCCAACACACCCCAAAACGGCCACGCGACGGTCCCAAGAGACCCTCCAGGCAGCCAAGATGACCCCAGGACGGCCCATGGGGCCCCCAGATGGCCCAACAGGGACCCTAGACGGACCAACAGGGCCCTAAGGGGCCACATGAGCCCAAGACAGTCGAACTAGGCTCATGGAAGCTTCTCAAAAAATGGAGAGGAGGAGGAGAAGGAAAAGGAGTAGCGAGGAGGATGAGGAACAGGACGGAGGAGGGGATGAGGAGTCGAGGGGAAGATGGAGAGGAGGAGGAGAAGGAAAAGGAGTAGCGAGGAGGATGAGGAGAAGGAGGAGGAGGAGGAGAAGGAGCGAGGAGGAGGAGGAGGAGGAGCGAGGAGGAGGGGAGGAGGAGGAGCGAGGAGGAGCGAGGAGGAGCGAGGGAGGAGGAGGAGGAGGAAGAGGAGCGAGGAGGAGGAGGAGGAGGAGAGGAGGAGGAGGAGGAGGGAGGAGGAGGAGGAGGAGGAGGAGGAGGAGGAGGAGGAGGAGGAGGAGGAGCGAGGAGGAGGAGGAGGAGGAGAAGGATGAGGAGGAGGAGGAGGAGGAGGAGGAGGAGGGAGGAAGGAGGAGGAGGAGGAGGAGGAGGAGGAGGAGGAGGAGGAGGAGGAGGAGGAGGAGGAGGAGGAGGAGGAGGAGGACCCCCCCTCCCCCTCCAACTCATGGTGGTGGTGGTGGTGGTGGTGGAAGACAGGCCCATCCTCCGAATCACCGTGGCATGAGGGAGTGCCACAGCGGGTTCGTGTCTCGTGCTCCGCGCCCAGGAAATAACACGGGCAAAGAACGGACTAAGATCAACTGCTTCGCTGTCGGGGGCGCCTGTCCCAGGGCGGCCGGAAAGTTTGTAGACCCTTCCGATGGCACGCCAGGGCATCAGCTTTCCAGCCGCCCTGGGGCAGGCGCCCCGGAAAGCGGAAAAGCATACCTCATACCGTTCCTTTCGCCCGCTAAAGGAGGGATGAGGACATGTGGCGTGTATTGGCATGTTGTTTCCCTCGTGCCTCCTTGGAAACAGGACGGTTTACCCACAGGAGCACACGCCTTCGAAAAAACTTCTGGGGCGACAGCGGGGCTCTGACAGAACACTCGCTGCTAAAGATATGGGGAAACTACAACCAGGAAGAAATCAGTGGAGATAGGTAGCTCACCGTCGTCGACATCTTCGGGGAGAAGCCGTCAACTTCGTGATCAGACCACCTTGCCGTAGAACACGCCCTTCAGCAAGATCGTCTTCGGCGCCTTGGCGCCCATGTCTGTGTCGGACGGCTGCTTGGAGACGAAGACGCCGCCAATCTCGCCAAGCTCCTGGTTCACCTTGTTCACCTCCATCTCGATGGCGCCCTTGCCAACGTCGAACACCTTGTTGGTCTCCTTGAACAGCTCCTCCTGGCCCTCCTTGCCGTCGGCCTGCAGCGCTGGCAGGGCCACGGCCTGGTCGTAGCCGAGGTACATGCCGCGGCCCTTGGGGTCCAGGAAGCCGCCCGTGCGGTAGGACGGCACCATGAACTCACCGCCCCAGGTGTAGCCAGGCTTGAACGAGCTGCCCTCGCCCTTGGCGACCAGCGACTTGCAGGAGAACAGGAAGGGCACGTACTCGCCGTCCGGCAGCTTCACGGTCGTCGCCTGGAAGTCCATGCCGTCCTCCTCCTTGAAGGTGATGGGGTTGGGGCTCAGCGAGCCCTCGACGAACGCGATCGTGTACGTCTGCCTCGTCGTCAGCTTGGTGGTGACAAACTCCTTGCCCTTGTCCGTCTCGGCCTCGACGGCGAAGGACTTCGGCTCCAGGCAGAAGTTCTTCATCCTGCTGCCCTTCTCGACGCGGACCTCGGTGCCCACCTGGTCAACCGTGGGGCAGCGGTTCGCGAGGCCGGAGCCGCGGACCTGGGAGTAGGTGAGCTGGCTGAACTGCTCCGCGGTGATGGCCTTCGCCGGGGCGGCGGCGACCGACATCACGAGGCCGAGCGCCGCGCCGGCGCCCAGCAGCGGCGCGGCCCACGCCGCCCAAGAGGCCGTCTCGGCCTCGGCGCCCAGGGGCTCCAGCACGGCCTCAGCGGGCACGGCGGCGCGTGGCTGCGGCACGGGTGCGCGCGCCCCAGGGCCGTGCACGTACGCCGAGGCGCGGCCCACGAGCATCATCACGGCGACAGGGCGGGCCATGGTGGACTGCGGAGCGGGGAGGCTGGGGCACACCGCTGGGCGGGTCTGCGCCGCCAAGTCGCTCTTGAGCCGAAACGGCTGCGGGGCAGGAAATCCAGGAGCAATTACTCCTGGCAGCAAGAGCACCTGGGGATGAAGGAGGGCGGGCCGGTCCAGTCGCCCCGTGCCGCGAGAACAGGCCTCATCGGCTGCGTCTGTTTGTGTCTCGTGTTCCGCACACTATTTGTTGCCGAGGGGGAGGGTCGAGGAGGATGGCCAGGAGGAGTGTGATGAGAACAAGTGCCATGTGATGACATGTTGTTTCCCTCGTGACTCCTTCGGCACCAGACAGTGTACCCACATGATCACAAGTCTTAGAAAAAACTGTGTAGCTACGACGGGCTCTGAGAAGGCATTCGGTGCTGAAAAGGGAGAGACATGCGTAGGATGAAGAAGATCTTGGAGACAGGTAGCTCATATCGGAAGCGATCTTCGGGGAGAAGCCGTCAACTTCGTGATCAGACCACCTTGCCGTAGAACACGCCCTTCAGCAAGATCGTCTTCGGCGCCTTGGCGCCCATGTCTGTGTCGGACGGCTGCTTGGAGACGAAGACGCCGCCAATCTCGCCAAGCTCCTGGTTCACCTTGTTCACCTCCATCTCGATGGCGCCCTTGCCAACGTCGAACACCTTGTTGGTCTCCTTGAACAGCTCCTCCTGGCCCTCCTTGCCGTCGGCCTGCAGCGCTGGCAGGGCCACGGCCTGGTCGTAGCCGAGGTACATGCCGCGGCCCTTGGGGTCCAGGAAGCCGCCCGTGCGGTAGGACGGCACCATGAACTCACCGCCCCAGGTGTAGCCAGGCTTGAACGAGCTGCCCTCGCCCTTGGCGACCAGCGACTTGCAGGAGAACAGGAAGGGCACGTACTCGCCGTCCGGCAGCTTCACGGTCGTCGCCTGGAAGTCCATGCCGTCCTCCTCCTTGAAGGTGATGGGGTTGGGGCTCAGCGAGCCCTCGACGAACGCGATCGTGTACGTCTGCCTCGTCGTCAGCTTGGTGGTGACAAACTCCTTGCCCTTGTCCGTCTCGGCCTCGACGGCGAAGGACTTCGGCTCCAGGCAGAAGTTCTTCATCCTGCTGCCCTTCTCGACGCGGACCTCGGAGCCTACCTGGTCGACCGTGGGGCAGCGGTTCGCGAGGCCGGAGCCGCGGACCTGGGAGTAGGTGAGCTGGCTGAACTGCTCCGCGGTGATGGCCTTCGCCGGGGCGGCGGCGACCGACATCACGAGGCCGAGCGCCGCGCCGGCGCCCAGCAGCGGCGCGGCCCACGCCGCCCAAGAGGCCGTCTCGGCCTCGGCGCCCAGGGGCTCCAGCACGGCCTCGGCGGGCACGGCGGCGCGTGGCTGCGGCACGGGTGCGCGCGCCCCCGGGCCGTGCACGTACGCCGAGGCGTGGCCCACGAGCATCATCACGGCGACAGGGCGGGCCATGGTGGACTGTGGAGCTGGGAGGCTGGGGCACACCGCTGGGCGGGTCTGCGCCGCCCAAGTCGCTCTTGAGCCGAAACGGCTGCGGGGCAGGCAGAGCTAGATGAGCAGCAGCAATTGCAAGTCACTGCTCCCAATCAACGGCCGAAGCAGATGGAGACCCGCCACCCTGTCTCAAGGCACGGTGAGGCGTGGTAGAATGCTCCAAAGGCCAGCAAGAGGAATGGTGAGGTCCCCAGGAGGGCTCCAAAAGGCCCCCATGAAGCTCCCGAACATGGACCCAGAAGCTCCCGAGAGGTCTCCTCATCCTTCTCCTCCTCATCCTCCTCCTCTTTCCTCCCTCTCCTCATCATCCTCTTCCTGCCCCACATGTTCCCCAAAGGGCTTCCACAACAGCTGGGGGAACGCATGGTCCAAGAGCGTGGCCAAATGTTGCCCAAACTTTTGGCCACATAGGCGTATCCAAAAAGGCAAGGGGCGGCGGTGATTCGCCGTAGGCGTCTTTGATACCTATTATCTAGAATATCCGACGACGATGAAGCGACGACTGCGACGACGATCCTAACTGGCGGGTCGGGTGGGCACTACCAGGCGGACGCTAGGGGCGGATCGGGCGGACGGACCCTAACAGGCGGGTCCAGTGGGCGAGCGCTAACGGGCGGGTGGGGCAGGCGTACTAACAAGCGGGTGGGTGACTGCGACGACGGCGCACCTTCTCTTCGGATGCTTTTCGAGGCGTTCTGGAGGTTCTCATGGCAACGGCTGGACGGGGCTCGAAAAACGGGCGAGGATGTGCCATGAGAGGGGCCACGGGAACGCTCTTGAGGGGATTCTGCTCGGACGACGGCGACGACGACGGCGCTGACGACGACTGGACCTTGTTGGGGCCTCCATTCGGAACGTTCCTCTCCTCTGTCCTGAGCGCTGTCTTTTCTACTCCTTTCTGGGATTTTGTTTTTGCGCGGCCAGAGGTATGGCCAAGCCAAAAGGTGGTTTCAAGGATCCACATGCCAGGGAAGCTACCCCCTGGCTGGTTCGGAAAAAAAAGAAAGCCTCCCCTGTCACGGGTTGCGGGTGACCCTTCCTAGTGGCTAGAAATGAGCGGCGGCGACGAGTGCCCCTCACAGTGCCATTCCTCAGTAAGAAGGTCCCGAAACGTGATCAAGCAAGAGATGCCACTCCCACAGATGACGTAGAACGAATAGGACCACCCAAATACACATGCTGATGGAGCTCCGTACGCGTCGCACATTCGTCTGGAGGAGTGCTTATGTCTGTGTGATCGTCCTCCCCCAGTAGACCTCCGACGGCAAAACCTGCTCGGCCTAAGTGCTTGACATACACGTTCAAATACACGGCACTGTCCGCATGTCCATAAGCGACTTTCAGCTGAACTGAACCAAACGAAAGCCAATGTGGGGTCTCGACTGAGATTTGCGAGACACTGTAATGATATCCTCCAACTTGTTTGGCCTCTGCCCAAGACCCGGTAACGTTCAACGCTTGAAAGTACATGTCCGCGCAGTGTCCTCCCAATCGGCGCGCATCAGCCTGCACTCGAAGCAATGCGTCTTCAGCACTCGCTCCCCGAGGGACATTTACCAGAACGTGTGTGCCCGCCTTCATCAAGTCGAACCGCTCGCCATGAACGTTTCGAAGGTGAGGGTCGCCAGTGGCAGCCACGTTTCCGCCAGCTCCGCCCGCCTCAGGAGCTGCAGGAAATGTAGGACTTGGCGTCGGCCAACCTGGAGGATACGTCGGGCTGGGCGTCGGGGAGGCTGACGGGAAGGCCGTCGGGAAGGGTGTCGGGAACGCTGTCGGGTAGGGCGTCGGGAACGCTGTCGGGTAAAGCGTCGGGAAGGCCGTCGGGAAGGCCGTCGGGTACGGGGTCGGAGATGAAGTACCGGTGCAACCCCCAGGAGTCGCGCAACAACAGAGAACACCACCATTGCCGCTACTCTTCGTCACGTAGTGCACTTCTTGAGTATTGTAATGCAAATTCGTCCAACTCCCATAATTTTTATTACCAATGGCTTTGTTAAACGCTCCGCAACTTGAACTTTGAAAACTTACCCCATTCCCATCTTTGCCACAACCCCACAAATCGTTTGCTCCAGCCGTGTTGCAATTCCAATTCCCTCCGCTCGTTTCCCAAGACGCATAAAAATCACCCGCACCAGGAGAGTTTGCACACAAACTGTAAGTCAGGCCGAGAGCTTCTGCGTCCGTATTGTCCTGACAAATCTGGTACCCGGCACCACAGGCAAACTCCGCATTAGCTATACCGTGGGTATTCCAACTTGCGTCGCAACCCACGACAGCATCAACCACGAAGACGACATCGTCAGTCCCGTCAGAGCAGCCCCCAGTCACCTGCTGCGTTAGAGCGGCCGCCTCGATGGGAAACGACACCCAGACGGTGAGCGGTAGAAAACGGGCCATTGCGCTGGAGCAAACTGACTGCGCGTGCTTGCTCACTCAAGTCCGTCGACCCCCGTTTGCCTGGGGAGAGAAGGCGTGTAAGATGCTTGACTGTATCTCCCTCCCCTTCCCCCCTCCTCAGGTGTCCGCAATCCCAAAGTAGGGGGGAGGTGGGGAACGAGTTCCCCGGCGCATATCCGAAGCCCTCCGAAACTCCAAATCGACTTTTGGACGCCTCCCAAATGCCATTGATGCCATTGATGGCTCAAGACAGCCTCCGACATGCCTACCTCCAAGAAGCACAAAGAGGGCCACGAGACGCCCCCCAAACAGCCCCCAGACGCCCTCGCAGGAACCCAGCAAGAGTGTTTCAGGTGTTTGCTGCAAAGCGGAAGCACGGTGCTTGTTTACTTCTCTGAAGGGGAACTGGGACACACAAAGAAATACACACAAATTCGCCGGCCCAACGGGCCAGGGCGTGCTAAGATCTCCGGTACCTGGTTAACAGTATTTCTAGTTCGCGCGCGCGGGGCGGCCCCTGGGGGTCCCCGGACGAAAAGTACCCCGGCAAGGTCCCGGCAAGTCCCCGGCAAGGTCGGGTCAGAGATGCCGGAGTTCTGTTTCGGAGTCCAAGAGGGCTCCAGATCGGTCCAAGAGGGCCCCGAGAAGCTTTCTAGACGGTCCAAGAGAGGCCCGAGACGGCCAAAGATCGCCCGAAGACGCCCCAGATGGCCCCAAGACAGCCCAAGAGGCCTCCAAGACGCTCCAAGGGCCTTCCAAGAGGCCTCCGAAGAGGGCCCCAAGTTGCCAAAATCGTTGATTTTCATTGTTTTTTCTATGTTTTTTTTGCGTTCTGGCCTTTTCGCTTCCGGACGCTCCAAGAGGGCCCAAGAGGCCTTCAAGACTGCTCCAAGACGGCCCACGAGGCTCCCAAGACGGCCCCGGAGCGGCCCAAGAGCGCCCCCCAGACGGCCCAAGTGCCGCCCAAGGCGGACCAAGAGGCCCCAAGACGGGCCCAAGAGGGGCTCAAGAAGGGAACCGAGAACTGAAAAATCGAGCCCTCCGCCCCAGAAGGCGCCCAGGACCCCGAAAGAGGCCCCAAGAGACTCTCCAAGA